TTTTCTTAAAATTTCGTTGATTTTAAATAATCAAAATCAAATGACATTCTGTGAAAAAAACACAAAATAAGCAATTTGAATTATCTAGTGAAAACAAACCACTCATTTGCATATAATAAATAACATATAATAAATACTACTTTTTACATTTCTTGATTATTTTAATTGATCATTACAATTTTTACAAGTGTATTCCAATAATTATTTATTTTATAACTACTTAAGACTAATTTTATAAAAAATTCAGTACAGTAATCTATGTGATTACATATTGATTCGATCAGTTAGTATAAGTTTTACAATAAAACAAAACTTTAAACAAAATTTTCATTTATCGAACAAGTTTCAAATCTAAACTTACTGCGATCATAATATAATAAACTACATAATTCAAAATTATGTGTACAATTGTTAATTATAAAAATATTCTTCAAAAAGCTTAAATGGTGTTCATAAAATAAAACCAATTTTCAAAATATAGAAAATTTAAAAAAAAATTTCAGAAATGTGAAAATACCATACTAGATATATGTCGAAACACACACACGCATACACATCACAAACATTATAAAGTTATTGGTATATATAAGAACGCAAGTAAATATATACACACTGTAATACTATGCTATACATAAATTTAAAATCTTGTTTAAATATACGTTGCATAACTTTAGCTTTATTATGCATGTAAAGATAATCATATATTTTTCAAATTCATATTACTGCAGGCCAAAATATCAGACAAAAGTTGGAAATTTTGCGACTACTCTCCCTTCCTGATAGTTACCAGAGCAACAGGGAGCGTGCAGGAAAAATTATAGCTTCACTAAAGGTTGAATACATTCAAATGTTCATAATATTACTTATATTTTTATTACTATTTATTCCTCCAGGCCAAGAAGCCTGCCCACCATCTAGATTTCGACACCAGGATTTACATTTCCGACATGATCCAGCCAAGGAAGCGCTTCAACGCGATTGCCAAAATGTTTTACGACTCGGATATAGTGTCCATAGATTTCACAAATAGAATGAATAAAAATAACAGTGATGGTACTGTCACCAAATACGATAGTGCTGCCATTATGAATTAATGGGTCGCCAATGTTACAAGGGAATTACACATCACGGAATTGGTCAACCACGGTAATAAGATTTTTAATAATTAATAAAATTGGTCAACCACGGTAGGTGATAAATTTTTAATAATTAATAAAATTGATTTTTATTTGATCAATGTTATTGACAAATTTATTTTGTTCCAGCGGATGTTTATGGTGCTGTTATGGTGCTGTTGAACGTCATATACTTTAAAGGCGAATGGAAAAAACAATTTCCTGAGGAGAATAC